AGGAATTAATGTAGTGTTCAAAATTGGTATTTCCGTACCTGAATCTTTTATAGCTTCTACTTGCTTCCCTGCAATGTAAATAGTAATCTTTTCCAAGGAATAAAAATTAAGTTTTCCGTCGGAACACTCGCGTTTTTGTAAATGTTTAGAATTTACATTTGTAACAACCGCATTGTCCTTCGGTTTACTTGAAGTGTTAACTTTCGGTTTGACCGGGAAATTATCGTTCTGTTTATTGGACCTCTCAAATTTATTTCGCCTGTTCGGGCAATCCTTAGCCAAATGTAAACTGCTACTACACACATAACATTCTCGCGGTTTAAACGAATGTTTCTGTTCATTTACCACTGAATCTTTTCTTAGCGCTGGTGGAATATATTTAGAGTTTTGTATGAATCACGAAAATTAGCGCGTTTTTCACCTCTTATGTCATCAAAAGATTTACCGTTTGCGATGAAATAAATGTCGCATTCCTTCGCTAGTTCTTCTGGACGTAGCCAACTTTCACCTTGTCGAAATGCAACATGGCACGCTAAATCACTATCCAACATTTGGAAAAGTGTCGGAAATTACTAATTAAAGACTTAAAATCATTGACGTTTCTACTTTTACAATAATGGATCCAACATGATCTTAAACGAGAGGCGAACTGCAAATGAGTTTCCCCGTCAACCTTTGAGCTTGGCGAAAATTTTCTAAACATATAATTGGCGATGGTTCATATTCCTTAAGAATTAAAGATTTAATTTTTTCATAATCTTTCAATCATCATCTTTAATATATACTAGAATATTAGAAGATTTATCACCTATCAGTTTAAGTAAAATTTCAGACTTAAACTCATTTGGTACGTTCTTATGCTTAAAAGCCCTTTCTATGGAATCAAAAAAAATAAGTTCCATGCTTCACCCTTTTTAGGTACAGAAATCGATAATGCCTGTACAGCTTTCAAAAGCTTATCTAATGAAAGTGTATTTTCTACGTTATTACTAGATTCGTTGCTACTTTCGATTTGCATTAAACGCAATTTCACAATTTCTTCTGACTTTTTCCTTTCTTCAACCGTAGTATTAAGAAATTCAATAACAAAATCTTTATCTTTCAAATATTCTTTAGAACTTAAAAGCTTATCTTTTAATTCTACAACTTTTAAACTAGAATCGGCTTCTTCACCGAGTTCCTTCAACACCGAAATCAAATCACTTTTAACTACTCCCTTAAACATATTTAGAAGAAATTTTCCTTAAAATTACAACAAAGATTTCGGTTTAATCCTAGTATCCGGTGCACACAGAGGCTATTTGGCGACTTTATGATGAGTAAAACGACATATAGATGAGTAGTTAAGGGTCATTCAAAAAATATGTAGTTAAACATAGTATATACCATGTATATAGTATATATACTATGTGTGTATATACATATACTTTGTGTGTATAGTATATATATAGACGTTCGTTGGATCATTTTTGGTGTTGGCGATAATTTTCAAATTCGCGCCAAGGCAGCACCGTATACTAGGATTTTACCAAGATTTCTCACCTTTTCTCAAAATCCAGTCACCCTCGTTCGCTCTGGTTCTCGAAAGAAAGCGTGTTGTAATGGCTTTACGGATGAATAAGGCACCATAAAGAAAACGAAACAAACATTTATTAAAAATTAACGTTCAAAGAATAATGGTAAAAAAAATAACGTTCAAAGAATAATGGTAAACTCGGAGCACTACCTCGCTCCTACAACATACCGTATTTACGCGAATCTAATGCGCATCGTTTTTGGCCAAATGTAGTACTCAAAATTGGGGTGCGCATTAGATTCGATGGCGCATTAGATTCGAGTGCAAAGTTCGCCGATGACATCAGCGGTTCGCCGATGACGTCAACCTTATTTAAATCGTAACAATGGATTACTGTATTTCTCGACTACATTTACCGTTACATTTATCGTTGACACATTATTGCATACTGCAGAGTACGTAGTCACGAAATGGAGGGCAAGCAGAGAAGAATGTCATATGACGCTACTTTCAAACGTAAAGTAATTCTTTATCCTGAAAGAAATGGCAATAGAAAGGCTGGGAGAGAGTTCAACGTAGCTGAGAGCAATGTTCGCTTGTGGCGGCAACAGAAATTGGCACTGTTTGCAACTAAAACTAGTAGAAAGAAATTCACTGGCCCTCGCAAAGGAAGACACCCTAAAATTGAAGAAAAAGTTTTGGAATTTGTACGTGAAAGGAGGAAGAATGGACAACCTGTGACTAGCGACACCTATAAGAAATAAAGCAAAAGAGGAGGCTGAAGTTCTTGGAATACCGAAACGAGAGTTTAAAGCTAGCCGTCGATGGATGGATCGGTTTATGAAGCGGATGGGCTTATTTCTAAGACGCCGTACAACAATATGCCAAAAGCTTCCTGCAGATTTTGAGGGAAAACTACTAACATTTTAGCGGTATGTCATCACACTTCGGAAGGAAAAGAATTTTTCAATGGGGCAAATTGGCAACGCTGACGAGACGCCAATTTGGTTTGATATGTCTCGTAACTACACCATTACGGAGAAGGGGACTAAAAAGTTATCATCAAAATAGTGAATAAAGACGTTTACTATTAATCACTGATTGTAGAAACTGTTAGCTAGATAGAAATGTTACCATTTATTTCATGTTCATACTTTACGATATGTACCGTATATACGTTAGTGGTAATTAACAATGATTGTTTCACATAACAATAGCCCACTAATAGGTTAATTCTATGTTCTGTTACTTTATGTATAAATCCATTGTTGTATAAAATATGGTATCTAAATTTAAATAAAATTATCATACCATTGATTGATAGTTTATATACAAATCCATTGTTGTATAAAATAAGATTCAATAAATTCCTCATACCATTGATGCGCATTACATTCGCCGACAAACAATTTTTTTATTATTTAAAGTTTTAAAATGCGCATTAGATTCGCATAAAAACGGTAGTTGATCTATCACCTTTCTCCTCTGAGGCTAACATGCAACTGCCGTCTCTCTCACTTGCTGGACTCTGGCAGGCAGCTGATTGGCTCACCGCAGCCAGATACATGACAGCTATTATACAAATTTATTCTCGTCAAACTAATTTTAGTTTGTTTACAATACTATCCGTATGAGAAAAGTTTTAAATATTTAATTTTTTAATTTGCGGGAATTTAAACTGTGTGCTATATAAGGTACTAACGTTTATGGTTTATCGCCATGTACACTGCGCAATGCGCAAAAAAAAAAAAAAAAAAAAAAAAGGGGGGGGGACAGTTCTTATACCTTTCGTTTAACTGGGCCGATTGCCGAAATTCAGCTTGAGTTTACATGTCTCGAAAGCGCGACATGGCTCGAAAGATATGTATTAGATTTTTATGCATTGTTCTAATATAGGTATTTGGACACAAAATCGGACTTTTTCTGAAATGACATGCCGATTTTTTCCAGATTTCGATTCTACGACTCAAATTATGCCAAACTGCCAATTTTTTTAAAAATCGTGAGTAGTTTTTTTAAAAAATTAGCTGTCAAAATTTTAGCTCCTCATTGTTAATTGAATTTGATATATATTTATTAACATCTCTTTTTTGAAACTTATTTGATTCTTCCTTTCACAATTCGAAATTTAGGTTCATTCCAAATAAAATTCACCCATTTGTTTAACATTTATGTTTAAAATTTGTACTCGTATTTTAAAATAATTTTTATAAATTTTTCCAAAAACATTTTGAATATGTTTCGAATATGAATTTGAAAAACATTTTGAATATGAAAACCTATGAAATTTTTAGCATCACCTTAAAGTAGATTTATTTATATGCATTCGTGCAAAAAATTAGTGTTTTTTTATTCAAAATCTCTTAAAGATATACGTGAATTTAATATTGGCGCGTTTTGAAATTTGACATATGTGTTATAAGCGATAATAACACCAAATCGGGTTTACGCACTATGTTGAAATTATTTGAAAGTATGAACGATACCCTTTTTTCGGCTCGTGTGAAATGGGGAAAAAAAAGGAAAGGAAAATAGGTTACCATAAATTAAGAAGTTCGTTAAGTGAATTATTCTCGGACAAGTGAATTATTATTGAAAAATATTCTCCAAGATAAATTTTTAAATTTCTCACTAAAATTTAATATCTATGCATAATTTGAGTCCTAGAATTGAAATATGGAAAAAAATGGTATGTCATTTAAGAAAAAGGTCCGATTTTGTGTCAAAATACCTATATTAGATCAATGCTATATATAAATCTAATATCTATACTAAGTCGCGCTTTCGAGACATGAAAAACGCAATTGGAATTTCTTCAATCGGCCCTTCGGCTCAGTAGAAAGGGAGGTACAACTGTCTCCCCCTTTTTTTTCGCAGTGTACATTTTCTGGGCGCATTCTGAAAAATTATCTTTGACCATCCACGCCTTTTTATATTCTTTTTAAAGTGGTAAAAATGTTTTAAAACTTTTAAAACATCGTGGTTTTTGAGATTTTCTTATGGCTAGAAACAGCATCTCTTCGATTAAATCGGCATCAGCATTTGCAGACAGCAGATAATTACATCAACATCCAGCAATGCAAACAGTAAGGCGATCTTTACTTTTCTTGAGTGCTTTATACTGAACGACTTTAAAGAATTGATTTCTTGCATGCTTGGGATGAAAAACACTAAATGCTTCCTCAATGTTAAAAATCTCGTTTAGCGTTTTCTCAACTTTAAAATCTTTCGATTTATTCAGATAAATTCTTCAAACAGTCTTCAGTAGCTTAGGGTATTTCTTTGATAATTTCTGAATTCTAAGCTTATGGCAGAACATAAAAAATAGTGGAACAATATTATTCCATAGAACTGTTGAAATAAATTTGCTTTCGATTTGTTAGTCTAAGATCACAGGCTTATTTATTTGACTTCTTATGGAATTTATGGAATGAAATGTGTTGTTTAATTTCTTTTCATAAGCATTCAGATTTGATTGTTATAGATCGAAGCTATGAGTTCTGATGCCGACCGCAGCCTGTATAGCGCATACTGTTTATTGGCTGGAATGTACCCACCGGATGAAGAGTGGAGCATTGGTGAGAATATCCCGTGGCAACCCATCCAAGTCTCGTATGTTCCAGAACCAGAAGACATGGTATTATGCATATATTGTCCTTTTAACAGTTTATCTAAAATTTCAGTGATCCGATTTTCTAAATATTTTACAATGTTTTTCTTTAGCTTAAACACTTTTATTCAGTAAAAATTAATAAAATATGTAAAAGGAATTAACAATCGATAAAAAGAAAATTGATCAATGCAGCACATCTCCCTCAACGCTACTGACTACAGAAATTTTTATTATCCTTTTTTATCTCGCGCCAACATACATATAGAGGTAAGAGATAATTTTTCCCGTCCAAAATTTTGATAGTGAGTTTTGAGTAAATAAGCAAGAATCACGGTCCCCACAACACGTTTTACTATTTTTACAATGTCTGTCTGCTTATTGCAAATTTTTCGTTTGCGATAACTCTTTTATCAAACTTATTAAAAGGCCTGTTTTCCGTATTTAAGTTTTTTCTATTCATATAAACATTAGATTTTAAGTAAAACTGGATAATCGAAATTTGTATTTATCAGGAAACCCATTCTATTTCGCTAATAGACAACCGAAAATGGAACTTCAATTGAAGCCCATTACAGAACTGTATTAAAGTATAATGCAAAACTTTTCAGTTTTCATATACACTTTTATAAATATTAGAAGTGTTTTTAAGGATTATGCTAAATGCAGCGAGAAGAATCTCATTATGAAGACGAGCTCTGCTTATGGAACAATTATATGAATTAACCTCAATCCTCACTTTTGTGTTTTTTGCACTTTCGTGTCAAATCCCTTTTCAAATAAAAAAAAATGCTGGCACCAAATATTATCGCTATGTATTATTTTTAAAGAAATAATATAGCAAACATACATAATACAGAGAATATGAAAAAAAATTATGGCAATACTTATCGAGAATTATAAAGATGTGCTGCTTTTGAAAAGTTGTGATTGTTATGTCAATTGATTTGCGAATCCAATGCACTGTATGACCAGAGGATATATTACTATCGATGCGATATTTTGAAATCAAAACACGAGAATGAATGTGTATGTGACCTGTGACCACGTATAGTTATCATTGCTCATTGTACGGGAGAATGGAATAATAAAGAAACGAGTAAAGTTTATAATCAACAGTGAGCCATAAAGTTTATAAATACATTAGATTTTATTTACAAATAATAAACTACAAATGATTATATATTTAAAGCTTATTACTATTCCAACTCCGTGACTTAACATGGAATTGGGGTAGGTCATGTACTGGCCACATCAGATTTTTAACTTTGCATGAGCTTTACTTAGAAGACTTCTAATCCAGTGTCGCTAATGGAGGCATTTGCGTTTCCGAGAATCACATTTTCAATGATTTTTAATGATTTCAATGATTCAATCACATTTGCTTTTTCGGGACCCATAATTCTACTTTCTTCAGTCCATTTCAGACACAATATTAAAGTTTAAATTTTTTATTTTACTGTACTTATGTAATTATATAATTCTCTGTTCAGTTTCGCAAAAAATGCTTAGGCACTTATAAGAAATGTAAAAATTATTACTTACTCCTTTACTTATGGATATTAATTTCGAAATAACACCCATCAGAATAAAAGTATTACCTCCAGTGTTCTGAACACATCTGGAATCATTGGTAGAACGCTCTAATCTATTGCAGACAAACCGTCGCGTATAAGTAAATTAATTCAAGATGCGGCATCCATTTGAATGAAATTCAATTATTTGAAGTTTCATGCATATGCCATTACTTTTACATGTGACATTTTGTACATTATTTCGCCCTTCGCTCTCATTTGAAGTACTGCATAGTGCATTTTGCATTTCTTTTTTGTTTGTATCGAAATACATTTACAGGCTATTAAGTTAGCCTGCATTGCAACTGCATTCGTTACAGAAAATGCTTTTTTTCCCGTAATTCTTCGAATTTTGAAGACACCTGTAGCATCGCAATAGTGCGTATTACTTTTTATTTCCTTGTACGAAGTAAAGTAAGTGTAGTCGCGAAAAATTTCGATTTTCACATTTCAGCGGAAATATCCATTTTGACTATTTTTTTCAATGACGTTTTTACGTATGGGTAGTTTATTCTGCCCTTACGTACTGATAAAAATACAATACAACTTACAATACGTACAATAAAAATTATACGTACAATAAAAATACAATACGTACAATAAAAATTTTTTAGTTTTAAATATAATTCTATGTCAAAGTTTTACCATTTTTAATGAAATAGAAATTGCGTCCAACACAGATACCAGCACAAAGCGAAATACGATCGATCTGGTCTTTTTATGTGCATGTATTATCAACTCTAATTTCACTTTGAAGAGTAAATTGTGGCTCCCGTCCAACAACATTTCCAACCTGTCTTAATGAATCGGTTAATTAAGTCCGAATAATTGTAGGAAATAAGTTTACATGAAGGTCAGCAAATAATGTGTATAATTTAATAGGCGTACAAAGAAATCATGTGATGTCCACATCAGATTTTTTATCAATGTTTTAAAAATGAGTATATTACTTTTCCAGTACGCCAGCACTTTTTGCACACTGAAAGTGATCACCGTTTTTCATTGTATACTTTATGTATTCTTTTCCAATTAGAACTAAGCGTCGAAGATAAGTACCATATTTCCTTGCGTAATTTTTTTCTCTGTTTAGTGCTAGGTTTACTATTCGGGTAATTTTTCTTTATCTCAATATGTGCAGAAAAGGAGCTCCCCTGAATTTTAAGACTGATTCGTACCTGTCGTGATTATTTTCGTCTTACTACCGAAAACAAGCTCTCTCAAAAAAGTATGACATAAGTCAAGCCGAACAATTCTGTTCTAAGTGTTGAGCATTATGCCAACCTAATACAAAAACCAACCCATCACACAGAAGCAAGTACGAACTGATACCCAGTCTACAAATTTCCTGAGTCCAAGTTGTTCATTTACATTCTCTGATTCCATGTGGATGGTTTTCTATGAAGTAGCAGAGACAACAATAAGAACAAGCGAGATCTAAGTTACAGGAAAGTAGAAATGAAGCTATCTTATTAAATATTTTAATCTCAATATTACTATGTAATCTTTTGGAATGTACGTTTCTTTTAAAAAATAATATTCCGATAGTTACCTGTAGTTTATCCATGATCACTTTTCATTTGCTATGGTCTTACTGTAACCGCGTTCTTCGGAAGCTAAATTATTCGCATAATTCTCCCTTCTCGATTTTGGCCCACTAGCGGCCGAGCGGTAAAATCGCTGAACACTGGTAGTTCGGTCCGAGGTTCAAACCCCGCGAACGGGCTGGCTGCATGGGCGTTTTCGTGGTTTTCCCCATGTGTAACGTGTATGCGAGCCAGTTTCCCTTAGAAAGTCCTCCACGAAGGCATCCCTCCTCTTAGGCAGACAGCCCTAGTGTGCTTTGCCGTATTCTCAATACACACGACGCTTCTCGATTTTCAGACGATAAAATTAGTTAGAAAAGGGAGAAAATTACTCTAGGAAATACAGTAGTTGACTTATAGACATGTATGAGACATATCAACAACCATCAAATTTTAATTTTTGTTGTTGTTTTGTTTATCTTAACAAATTAGTCGTTTAGAATATATGTTTGCCATGAACTTAGAATCTGTTCCTTAATCCTAATTCGCTTTTACTGAAAAATGTTTTAGCTTCAGCGACTTTACCGCTTGTCTGCTAGTGCGCGTATTAGAGAAGAGATAAATCTTTTACAATTATTAAGCATTACAAGCATCTGTGCATTGTTATTTATCAGAAATATAATTACTAATGATAATGTATTAGACATATTATTACCAATTATACAGTATAATTCAATTAGAACGGTTAGAATTCAACTGAACTTTATTTATTAAACCCTATGTTGGATAGTAAAAACATCTGATGTGTACACCACATGACTTCCCTGTACGGAATATTAAATTATACGCATTTGTTTTGGTTTTTCATTTAAACTTATTGGATTGAATTAAATCTACTTCGCCGACAGCGCATAAACCACAATAGAATAAATGCATTCTTTAAAATTCACTCTAGTATTTGTTTACCATAGCGACACTCTGGCGCTAGATTCACTTAACAGTATTATATTTCGTTCATATTATAACTCAAAATGCACAAAATTTATATCATTTAAAGAATAGAATTATCTAATCGTTGCCACATGTTCTATTCAAATACTATATATAATAAAGCTAGAACTATATATAAAAGAAATTAAGAAAACAAAACAAAAAAGAAACAGTTTTTCACAGATGATTGAGTATTTCTCATTTAATTAATTCAGTTCTCACTTCGCGAGAAGGCAAAAATACATAAAAACTCAAAATATCTATATTAAAAATTACGAAGTAAATCTCAAACGCTTATTTCCTCGAAACAATTCCAGAAAGAATTAAGCATGATTTAATTGGCAATAATAAATGAATGCATTATCTTTGTTGTTGCGAAGCTAAGTTTCTCTAGATTGGCAACAATTCCACTAGTCTCCTTCTCCCGTTTCAAATGTAAAAATCAATGGCCGCCATTAAAAACAGGCTTAGCGGGTAAACAACTTTAAAATTGCTGATAATTCTAAAAAATATTGCACACAGATTTACTAAAGGCATAAAAACCTTAACCGGAAGATAAAAACAACATAATTCAATCATTTTTAAAGCAAAAAATGTACAATTTACAAACATATAAGAGTAAAGAAACTGAGATCACTGAGCCGGGTAACAGAGTGGATATACTATATATATATACGTTTGGTGCGGCCGATTGCAACCAAAATACGAGGTGCACATCTACATGTTATAGCAGTCCTATATACAAAATTTCAACGTTCTGAGGCTACTCGTTTTTGAGTTAGCGAGATACGTACGTACGTACATACGGTCGTACAGACGCCACAAAAAATTCTCTTCAGAATTAATTTTAAAGCAGTTTTGTAATTTTTTTGGAGGAAACGAGTCTTTTATTCTGTCCTTACGTACAGATATCACGCAAAAACATAGTTAAATTTCATTCGATAGCGGTCAAAATGGATATTTTCGCTGCCTGAAACTTTTTGCGAGTACAATACTTCCTTTTTACTTCGTACATGGAAGTAAAAAGGGAGATAATACTATGGTGCGACCAAATCAAAAGGTCGTGCATCAAATTTTAAAAAATTTTTGAAATTCCAGAATGGCTGTTAATGACAAATTGTTTCAATGAATGACACCGTTATAGGGTTATACGTAATTATATTACTTAAAATTTAAGTTTATGTTCTAAGCTTCAGAAATCGCCATTTGGCGCAAGATTGAGGTCAGGTTTGATAAGCAGAAAGAACTTTTATGATTAAGCATGATTTCGCAGTGTCTAAATTTGTTTGCGACTGAACTGAGAAGATATGATTTTAGGAATGTAGGTTTCTTTTAAAAAATAATATTCCGATAGTTACCTGTAGTTTATCCATGATCACTTTTCATTTGCTATGGTCTTACTGTAACCGCGTTCTTCGGAAGCTAAATTATTCGCATAATTCTCCCTTCTCGATTTTGGCTTACCAGCGGCCGAGAGCGGTAAAATCGCTGAACACTGGTAGTTCGGTCCGACGTACAAACCCCGCGAACGGGCTGGCTGCATGGGCGTTTTCGTGGCTTTCCCCATGTGTAACGTGTATGCGAGCCAGTTTCCCTTAGAAAGTCCTCCACGAAGGCATCCCTCCTCTTAGGCAGATAGCCCTAGTGTGCTTTGCCGTATTCTCAATACACACCACGCTTCTCGATTTTCGAACAATAAAATTAGTTAGAAAAGGGAGAAAATTACTCTAGGAAATACAGTAGTTGACTTATAGACATGTATGAGACATATCAACAACCATCAAATTTTAATTTTTGTTGTTGTTTTGTTTATCTTAACAAATTAGTGTGGTTATCTTCTCGAGAGGATTTCCGTTCGACCTGTAATTTGAGTACCCCCTTGTCAGATAGCTAATATACGTTATACATTTCGAAATTTTAAAATCATAAATATCAAACAGTCTAAAAAATAGAGCAATTTTTTAAAAACTCGCCAAAAATTGAGACATTAAGTTACAATTTTTACACACGTTTTCTTGATAAGGATTTTTCCATTCTATTAGATGGTGCAAATAGTAAAATTCTAATTAAGTTAGTTTGTTCGTTAAATAAAGGTATGCGCGAAGCATTGCTTAAAAATTAAACAAGAGAAAGTCTAAATCGAATTTTTGAAAAACCTGCTTCACCACATTTAATTGCTACTTACAAGATTTTGAACTCGATAGGTTATCGAAAAGTAGGATAAAAATAGTAAACTTCCGCTTACAGTGAAACACCCTGAGTGAACAAATTAAAAGCTTATAAAACCTGGCACTAATTAAAATTGATTAAACTTATTAAAAGCACAAAAGGCACATATTTCTAGTTTCATAGGGCTAGTAAGTGCAGTGAAATCCCGAATCCCGAATTTAATTCATTCCTAAAGCCTGTTCATCCACCAAAATATTTGTAAACTGAAATAATTTTCCTCACAGGAAATAATGCAAAATGGATTAATTTGTTCTAAGACCACATGTGATTGCTTTTAAATTTTTACAATAAATGTACAGTGAAAAAAGTAGTACATTGTGCGAAAAAAAAAGATCAATAAAATATTAAGCAGATAAAACAGAGCAAAACTTTATTTAATTTTGCTGTACTTAGAAAGAGAGTGGACTGCGTAAGCGGAAAATGACTTAGAATATTTATTGTTTGGATGGTGAAATTCACTTCAATAAAAAATCAGCTAAACTATTTTTAGGAGCATTTCCGTTTTCTTTGTCTTTAAGCTTCACTCGACTTCATTTCACTGGGCTTTTATTTCAGTTAAAATTTGTCTAATGTGATTTTTTGTTGCCTATCTTTTAAAATGTTCCTAAAGTGCACATTGCATTGCTATTGAATATGCTTAACAGTAGCTGTGCCTAATAAAATAGTTGCTGTACCTTGCTACTGTTTTATTAGGGTGATATCGATATGTGAAAACCTTGCATCCTACTCCATTTTTGAATAAATTTCGTTGATTTAAACACTTGAATAATCTTTTTTTTCTTCTTTTCCACTTCTTCCAAAGACGTTTTCTTCCATAATCGCCTTTTGTTTCGGCTTGTTAAGCTTATTTTTATGATCTTTTAGTAACTTCTCCACGTTTTCATTGACTTCCGATGGAAGTCATCTTCATTAACTACTCAGGCCTTTTTGCTTAGAGACACCGTATCACAGATAACAAAAAGTGTCAAAATACTCAAAGTCTGCCTGCAACTCAATCTGTAATTTCCTCCAGGCCGAAGTCACTTCCTGTCAAGCTTCGTTAAGGAGAGAAAAGCTATGGAAAATATTAAAATGATATCTTCAGTAGCCCCTGAGTGTTAATTATCGAGCATAGATTACCTTAGATTACCTCAAAACACATCTGAAAATCATATGTTTCTGACTTGAGTGTTTGTAAGTCAAGACACCTTTCATCATGCGAAGCATTTTTTGTTTAGATAGTTTGTTCGTAAGGCGTTAGAGAGAGATCTTACAGCATTCCCAACACCTGAGATCACTGCAATCTGCATTAGGAATAGGTTTGGTTTCGTTTGTTCGATCATGACAAAGCACTTGAGGGCTATCTGTCTAAGGGAAGATATTTTTTAGACATATCATCCGTGATGCGGACAATTCTTTCAATCACGATTTGTATTAGTAGGTTCTGTAGATATCCGCAATATGTTTTGGTAACTTTATTGATATTCTTATAAAATAATTTATTTATTTTAAATAATAATTATTACAATAATACGTATTTTAGAGGTATACTGTCATGTATAATTATCCTTTCTGATCAGCCATAATATATCATTACACATAATTTTACTGGCTTTATAAGTACAGCCCTGTTTTTCTCCTTTAATGAAATATTCAATGTATATTTATCAAAATAAAAAATAATAAGCATTTTTGGTTTTTTTAAAAATCTTATGTGTTGTATGACTGTAGCATATTTCTGATCGGTATACGTCTTTCTAGTTCGTCTAAAATCTGTATTTTTGTGCTAACTCTGTCAAATAAAGAGTTGTCTCCGTTTCTTCAGCAAATGTTTCATCAAATTCAATGAAAATATAAATAAAACTGGAAGATGTTACAATTTTTTAGTTTAGCTTTGTAGCATGTTTTACAGGGTTTTAAATGAGTATAGTGTTGTAGAGTTTTTGTCTTTGTATATTTATTTTAAATTTCTTATCCTGTTTAATTGTTTGTTTTCCCTCTTTGATTAATCAACAAATAATCTTATAATAAAAATTTAATATTTTATATCGTATGGTCAAGGTTAACATATATAGCCAGTAAACAGAAGTTCTCCAATCGGAATAATTGAATTATTGTTAATTTACGAAGAATAACTTATTTTCTCCGTGCAGCAAATAATTGTGAATAAACAATTCAGTTTAAACACAGTCACCAGGCACAGACTAAATTGTGGGGATAGCGAAAGTTTCCTGGCTGTGACTTGGTGCACTACCAAGTAAATAAATAAATCATTAAATAAATTACTGTGGATTGCGGGAATACCGGCGGTTTCCCGATTGGCTGTGGCTTGGTACATCATCAAATAAATGAAAACGAACATATCATTTTCCTATTTAAGTTTGTTTACTAAAAATTTAAAGGAAATGAGATTTTTTCAGATTCATCTAAAATCTAAAACAAAGAACTGTTTTGAGTTAAATTTTAAAATATTTTCATACATAGCACACGATTTAACTCAGAAGCATTTCTCTGTTTTTGATACTAAAACTGTTCTTTGTCGAAAGAAGTAGTAATGTAAAATAAAAAATTGATGGTGTATTGGCCGTTTTAAGGAATTTTTCAGCCCTATTATTAATCTAAATCCGTTATATATTGTAATAGTTAATATGTATGCAATTGTACAATGTTTATTATACTTACTGGGTACACATAATTTGGTTGTAGCGGAGTTGCTAATTGTATAATAGTTAAATACAGAATTTGGATCTTAAATTCTGAAAAATTCAAAATTTATAATAATAAAGTGAACTTTGGGAAGACTGATTAGTACTAAAAATGACGGTGCATAACTAAATGTTATAGCAATTCCCTATATACAATTTCAACATTCTATGATAAACCATTTTTTAATTATGCAAAAAATTAAAAAATTAAAAATAAAAAAATAAAAATGTCCTTTTTGCTCTGTCGTGAGCAGTGAAAAATTAGATTTTAGAGATTTTAAAGCTCATCCGGTGGTGGGTTGCAATGAAAAAGGAAGATACGCAACTAGATTTTATAGGAATCCTATATACAAAAATTCAAGATTTTACGACTAATCATTTTTGAGCACGCTAGATACATCCATACACACATATATACAGACATCACGCTAAAACTAGTGAAAATGGATTCAGGGATGGTCAAAATGACTATTTCCTTTGAGATCTTGAGCTATGAGACACACAGCTTAAGATGTCAGGACGGAACTAATCATAATAGATTTGAGAATGTTCAAAATGGGTATTTCTTTTGAAATCTGAAAACCAAAATATTTCGCATTTCAATACGTCCTTTACATCGTACAAAGAATTAAAAATGGATTTCACAAGCTCATATCTCAAGCGTTTTCAAACCTCCGTTGAAAAGATTTCAGAGAATAGTTCTAAGTGTTTTGCTCACAGATTTACTGAGTACTAGTCATTCAGAATCAGAGAAGATGAAGTCGCTCCCGTTTTCGAAAGAAGAGAGAAGTTATAGAAATAAATTACTGTGTATCCATAAATTTAGAGCATTAGTAAAATTATAGATTTTGCTTCCGTTGAAGCTAGTCATTCATAATAATAACCTAAAAATCATTAAATATCGATATATTAATAAAAATAATGGAACTCAATAAGAAATAACTGAAAAAAATAATTATTTTTAATCTTGTTTTTTGCAGTATCTCCAGTCTAACCCGAATTGTCCTTTGTACGAGACGTCAAAACATGAACTCATCCTTGAATATGAAAAACATGAAGACCCTGGAAACAAGGTGAAAACAAATTTTCTTCACAATTTGTTTAATTGAAAAACAGAATCCTTTTGTCGAAGAAGAATTAAAAAAAATAGTCGCTTTAATTTCTGACGAGCAGTTTAATTTGTCGAAGGTTATACTGTTATATACGTGAAGTTTAATTTTAAAAGTTTCCGTTCAAATGTTTAGATATAAAATTCTGTTCACATTTGAAAGAAATTTGAGGAAAATATTTTTGTGATTTATTAGTAATTAATGTTTTCAAAATCTGAAATCTACTGCAATTTTCGGCAATTCGAAGTAGTATATTCACTATATTCAAAGTTAAATTTAAAAAAAAAAACATAATGCATAATGTTTATTAATTTAAACAAGCAAATGCTTCTCATGGATGATGGAAAAATTTTCATAGTTTGAAAAATAAATTGATTTATGCAAATATTTTGAAGAGCTGTATGATAACAGGATCATTTACTGTTAACAGAATGTACATTATGTCCCCAAAATTCCTCACCTGGCCTTTATTTTCTCAACCGTTGGTCGTAGATATATACGTCTAGTTACAAAAATCTTTCAAAAGACGCAAATAATCATTTTTTTCGCTTTTTAAATTAAAAAACTGGAATCTTGTAAAAATTACGAAATCTAACATTTTATATATTCCTCCTATCCCTATAGTTATATTTAGGAAAAACTTCATATTTGTTATAAAAAATAAAGCTTTAAACTTTTGACTTCCGTAAGAGAAAAATTTATTCAAATTCTTAATTCCAAAATTTGTTCTACTTGAGGTGCTTTTCAATTTGCATTCAAATGTTGATAATAAATATATTAAAATAATTCGAGGTTGATGTTTTCCCTATAAAGTGTCATTCTTTTGACATTTACTAATGTTTTAATTTATAATTCTGTTACGGTGGTATGCCGAAAGAATTTTTACAGAAGGTAATTTATAAATTTTAAAAGTCTAAAAATACGTCATTAATTCCCCATGAAGTTTCATTTCTTTAAAATCATAATATGCTCAACACACAGAAAATTCATTAAACTACAAACATTTTACTCTTTTAATTATTGCAAACAATATTACGAATTACGGCTATAATATTACGCTTACGTGCCAATAATAAAGTATGCCAGTGTTTTTTAGAACACGAATTCTCTAACATTCTGGGAATAAGATCACCATTTTGGAGAAATGTATATTGATTAAGACTTCCTACAAAATCTCCATAGAGGTGCTCGTATTTCAATCTCTTTAGTCCCGAAACCGCTTCCTAAATTGTTATTTTATTTTTAGTTCCGAGTAAATGCGAACATCTCGCTCTCCAATTTGTTTTACGGCCTCTGAATATGATGTTCAAATTTAATACCCAATATCTGGGTCAATTTAATCATGCGGCAGTTAAACCTTTTGCGTTTTATTTTTTATATTGAGTACAAAATCTTTCTATAGATGGAGACCACGGGTATCCATAAAAGACTAGATTTCGTAATTTTTACAAAAATTGATTTCGTTCGATTTAAAAAGGACAGAACATTAGTCTTTTCGTATGTTGCGTAAGAATATATTACCAGGTCCATAAAACTGAGACGACAGATTTAAAAAAACCACCATCTATTTTTCACATCATTTCTTGTTCTGCAAATTTTTAAATGCAACTATTTTTAAAGCAGAAAATAATATTTAGACGTTATGCATCTGCACACGTGATCCCCGTAAAAAGGGGAATTCATTCAGGTTGCCAGATTTCTCCCAACAAAAATAAACGTTTAATACTTCAATCTCATTACTTGAAAACAAAATTAATATTGAGGAATAATAATACAAATAATACAGTACAAGAAACTAAATCGGGCTAACTCAAATACATGAATTACATTATTTGTGATTTTACAACTCTGTCACTACTGGTGGCGGAAGGCATTTGATTATCTTGAGTATTATCTATTACATTTTCCAATTTCAGTCTAAACGATCTTTCTAGTGTTCTCAAGAACTTAAGAATTACTGGTTTTTACAAGAGCAACTTTTATGTTGTCATCTCGAGCAGGAATCACCCGAATCATGTGTGCTAAGTTCCAATATGCACGGTTCTTGTTCTGATCCTCCAGTAGGACAATTTCTCCTACGGAGAGAGGCTTATTTTTGTAATTTTTGAGAGATTTCTGCTTTAATTGCCTAGATACTCAGAGCGAAATCTCCCTTAATTTTAACAATACTCTCATTTTCTGGAGATATTTCGCCCTTAGTGTTCCTTATCCACCCTGTCAATGTCAGGCACACCCGACTGTGGAGTTTCATGCAAAAATCGTTGAAGAGTCAAAGGCAAGGGATCATCAATGCCGTCAGACACGTAAGTAAGTGGTCTTGAATTGAGAACTCTTTCATAATCGCCCAAAACTGTGAGTAATCCCTCATAATCAGGAGAACCTACCTATAATGTTTCTTAATATCTGCTTTACAATTTGAATTAAATGCTCTCGTCATCCGCCCCACCAAGCTACTGATGGAGGATTAAACTTCCATTCTATTTTCTTTTCATCAACTTTAGAGCAGAGACAGTTCCAGTCGATAGTTTGCAGAACTATCTCTGCACAAACAAAATTTCTCCCATTATCAGAATATATGGTGAAGGGGCGTCCATGACGTGCCATTAAAACACCTCAGACTCGAAAACAATAATTCTGTTGTTAAAGACGTAATCAATTTCATATTGACTACGCGATACACCGCACAGGTAAAAAGCACAATATATGATTTTCGTCCATCCTTTAAACGCAAGGGTTCTGAAAAATCACATCCCATGATTTCAAAGACGGCTGAATCACGAACACTGTGATTTGGTAAAATGCTTGGGATTGTCTCATATCTTTTAGCCTTGAATCTCTGACATGTCACATATTTTCTTGTACAATTTCTTATAGTTTTACGTGATTTTAAAATCCAATGTATTTCTCTTAAATACGACATTAACAATGTAATAAGTCTTCATGTAATCAGTCTTTGTTTGCACTTAAGATCAATAATTTCACTACTGGATGCTCATTAGGTAATATGATGGAGTAGTCACAATGAGTAACATTAGACTTAATTATCGACCTTGACTATAGACAAATGGTCTGAGTATTTTTAAGTTATCAGCTATTTCACCATTTAAACGATTCTTTTTGTATTAACAACATTAAAGCTACTTCTTCCTTTTCTATTTCAAATACAGTTAAATTCTTAGCACTGTGTTGTTATTCTCCTTACGTACATTATTAAAAAATCTGATTATCCATGCTAACATTGTTACAATTTTCTTAAATGTTGAAAAATACTTATAGTACCAGTCAATAGAATTATTATTCTTTGCCAATGTACAATAACTGTTTTATGTATTTCTAAATTAACCCAATCGTCATCTGGTTCGTCATTAGATTTAGGACAATTTGCCTCATCTTCCAGTAATCAAATAGGTCCCTCCCACCATTGTCGTTATGTTAATTGATCTGAATAACAAACTCTAGAAAGTATATCTGCTGCATTGAGACTACCTGGTACATGACGCCATACAGTGCGGGAGGTCAAAGATATAATTTCTTGTGCACGATTAGAAACGAATGCTCCCCAATGTCGATCTCGCCGTATCCAATTCAAAACCATCGAAGAGTCTGTCCAACAATGAATGCTAACCTCATGCGGGTCATTATCATTAATAACACAATAACCTAGCACCTATACTGCAAGCAAGAAGTTCTATGCGAGGAATCGTAGTGGGTTTTAAAAGAGCCTCTCTAGATCTTGCGTGCACCAAATAAACCTTTATCTTCTTGCCACTCTCGACTCTAAAAAAGACGCATGCACCATACGCACGTTTACTACTGTCTCAAAAAACCTTACAGATATATTTACATATTTGAAAGCTACCCATCTAGGTGTTTGAATACTTGAAGACAGTTCCAACGTTTTACGCCAAAACCTAAATTTTTTGGCTAAATCCTCGGAAAATGCATCGTCGCATTTAAGCCTTAAATTTGTAGTTTTCTGTAAAATCAGTTTTGGAATCAACATTACAGAAGCCGTATGTCCTATAACGTCAAATACTTGGTAAGCTATAGCTAAAACTAGTCTTTTAGTAACTGGGTCATCCAATTTTATACCTTGATGTATTTTGCAAGGTAAGGTATCTGTATGCCATACAAGGCTAAAACATGCACATCTTTTCCTGTGGAGGAATCTTCCTCAGGTACAACATTTCTTATATTGGATTTCCAGAACTTAAAATTAAAATGCCCCGAAGGCATAATCATTTGCAAACTTCCTCATTTCTATTTCCGAAGTCATACTAACCACACAGTTATCTACTTAAAAGGATGTTTTCAAAATCTCTGCTGTAGGTATTAAGTTTTCAGGAACCACACTTAAATGTTGTTGTTTGTAGCGGCTAATAAGTACAGACTACATTTAATACCTAAACTTATCCTTGTATTCCGATAGTGTTGAGCTTGTTCCTGTTTATACCTATTGAACCAAATAAATCTTAAGAAGCCTTGATCCTTCTCCTTTATAAATATTTGCAAGAACGCTTTTTGTACATCTGAAGTGACACCAACGTAGCTCTTGCGAAACTGATTAAGAATCAAGGGTATTATTTCTATCAAATTTGGTCCAGTAGATAAGCAATCGTTCAACGATGGGTAACCAGGTGAATGAGAACTTGCGTTAATTTTGCATATACTCGTATTATTATTTTATTTTACAGCAGCTCTATGAGGCAAATAATGGACACCCTTGGCATTATTCTTATTCGGTACTTTTTCAATTATCCCAAGAGCCAAACATTCTTTGAAAACATCTTCATAGGCTTCAAAATTTCCCGTAGTCACTAATTTTCGTTTAGTACTTACATGGCACTCTTCTGCTGTTTTCCGGTAAAAACGAGTTATCCGACACCCAAGGCAACGCGGATTCGTTCCTCCCATCAGCATTTACCGCAAGAGTCTCTTCAAAATATTTTTGCGTATCTTCTTGC